GGGCAGCATAAGGGCCCGTTGACAAAAAGCTGTGCAGGGGTTCGTGCGTAAGGCCTCGTGTGCATGCGTGTGCTTTTGTATGTATGATTGTGAGTGTTGGTGCGTCTGTTGCGCACACTTTGTTACCATTTTAAGCAAGCAAACGCTATAAATACAAAAATACTATTAAAAGCGACGAAAAGTCGCTATTGACAACAAAAATATATAAGAATAAAGCGTACAAATATGTATATACAAGTATTTGCTGTTACGTATATATGTATGTATGTATTTTTAGACGTGCTTGTGCTCATGGGGAAAAGGTTTGTTTACGCGAGTGGGCGGTATAGAGCCGATTTGGATTTTATGCGATTGAACCAACACAGGCAAAGCAGAGATCAATGAAAGACACAAAAGCGTTCGTTCGGGAATTGTTGGGCGATGCCGATTTTTTTTTATTATTACAGTTCTGCTTCTTTGTTGAGTTTTTTGTTTGCAGTTTGTTAGCTCAGGCAGTTTAAACGTACATTGTATGTTATATATATAGGAATGGCACAGAATATTGTGTAAATAGAGAGAAAATAAGTAAACATTAAATTATACTTTAAACTGAAAATAAATTAAAACTGTGTACATGTATACCTTTTATACGTGAACATATATTTTTAGAAGCGAAAAAATTTTAAAGATTATAAAAATTTATTAATATTAAATATGTAAATATAGGTGGTGAAGAAAGCTCTACACTTTCTAGATATACCAACATTATCATTTGGTACAAAGTCACAGAACACTCAGACAAACATATGTACCTACATAATTTAATTCAGATATCTTATATATTGACTGATATGCGCCATAAGGTAAACCAAAGGTTCTAAAATCATTATTTTAAATAAATTAAGAGCAGCGAAAATTATTTTCCGATTTCACTTAAACCAGAGCGAGATATGAAAAGCTTTTTTTACATTAATGAAAGCTTACATGGAAGCCAAATATTGAGGACAATTTGATTGACGTTATGGGAATAAAATGCGTAGGCTCAAAAGAGATTTGAAATGTTGTCGTCATACTTGCTTCTCTGTCGATTTGCATTTTACTGAAAGCTATATTCGTTTCTTGAAAATTAAAGTTTTATGATATATGATTCTTTCAGAAAAAATAATTTAAATTCAAGATATTTTTTCTTTATGAACCGAAACTGCTAGCCTGGAAGCTTGTCAACGTAGCAGTATAATATTCTAAAATGTTTTGTTTTAAGAAGAGAGAGATGGATAGAGTGTGGTAGAGCTCTGGCGCTCTTAAACTATATACATTAGGAATCTGTATCGATTCGAGACATGGGAGAAAATTGATAATTAGTCAGGATAAAATTTCTGAGCATTTCAGATATTTTGTATAATTATAATATTAACAGTTTTCAATTTTTGAAAAAAATGTTTCATAACCAAGAAATTTGTTTTCAAATATCGAGCTTTAAGTTAAGAGTTTTCACGCTAAAACGCTTCCATAAAATAAGCCCGGTTTTGTATAAAAAGTTTTTAGTAGCAAAAGCTGCTATAAAAAAATCTAAAAAGCTGCTTAAAGACGTTCTGTCAATATGTTTTTATGTAAACGCTAACAAAATGGGTTGCCATATAATTTTAAGAAGATATTTAAAAAAAATGTTTGAATTTTTTTTTCATATAAGCGATTAAAGCCTTTTATAAAAAGTATATAAACATTTTTAAACTGTTGTAACACTTTTGATGAGTTTGAATAATCTATGCACCTAAACTACGCGAAATGTCTCAATAGGAAAAAGGAAATCGCGATGAATGAGCAGTAAATTGTGGAAAAGCAACACAAAATACTACACGCTTAGCATCATTACCGATTATCGTCAACACAATGCCAACATCAATAGCAATTTCAATCGATTTGCAACGTCATCGGTATTGACGCTCGATTCTCGCAAATCCGGTCAACATATTCATTCTCCATATATTATACATGCAGACATACATACATATAAAAATACACACGTACATCATTCTAACAGCACTTGAAATTTTCCGTCATACTTTTTTTTCTTATAATATTTTTAGTGCTGCGAGCACTAAATACGCGCACGATAACGCGACGCCGAAACAGCGTGTGGTCGCCTTTTCTTTACTCCTCCATCAACAAATAATGCGAGTTATTCCTCTGTGTGTTTACCTTTAATTTGTGGAGGCTGTTTGTTTTCTTTTTAGTCAATGAGTTTAAACTGTGAAGCTGCTTTAAGCTTGAAGAAAGATAAAGGATGAAAAATGAAGGATTATTGACAATAAACTTTTGTTCGCCAACTCACTTTATTGTCGAAATTTACTCAGCTGTTTTCTGATTATCTGCGACACAGAAATTTTCATCAACAACGTGCAGAGATTCTCTCCTATCATTTCATATAAATTGATTTTTCTTTCTAGGCAAAGGCAAAAGTAATTCATAAAAATTGCACGTGCAAAATTGCATTATTCCGGTGAGTGATCGAAGGTTTTGATGATTGCTGCAGTCGCCTTACACACACACACACACATTCGTTCATATTCAGCAGCCTTCACTCGGCCAAGCAACTAGCAATGCTTGCAGCATTGGTGTCAAGAGCGTATGTGACGTCATCGTTTTTCATTTCTGCGTATTAGTAAGTATGTATGCTTGAAGGTTTGTTTGAAGTGATGACGTTTTGTTAAACGAAGCCAAAGAGAGTTTGTGATGGCGGTGAATATGGTAGTGAAAGTAAAGAGAAAGTGCTGGAGAGTGTTATTGCTGGGAGAGAAGAGAGCAGGTGGTGAGTTACTCTTTACCAGAAGTGCTGCCCATAAATCGTTTTCAATGATTTATAAATTTCTATAATTTTTCCTTTAATATAGAGTAGACATTTCTACATATGTTCACAAATATACCAGGGACGATAATTTTTGAAAACAAAAAATAAATTAACCTAGAAGGATTAAACACATTGGAAGAGGAAGGTGAAAACTCAAAAAGGAAAAATAATTTACCGCTGATCTGAGGTCGGAAAGAGAAACGAGAGGGGACGATGGTTGAATTTTTAAATTTTAAAGACGGTTTATTCTGACTACCGGCAAAACTACGACCCCTACGGAAAAAAATTTATGATTCACTTTTTTCACATAACCTCAAAATTTATATGAAAAATTCAAATAACCAAGTGTTTGGTTTCTTATTTCTATCTTTCACAACAATTTTTTTTTCTTTCACAAAATTTCGGGTAAACTAACTTTTTTATGCCCAAAACATGCTGTATTTTTGTTTTTTAAAGATAACAATGTTTTTTTCTTCTTCTGACTTAATATCATAAAAAATACTTATTTTCCATCGAAAATTCTCACGTCAACATATCAGCTTTGACACTTTACTATGATTCAAAGTCTTCAGTCCTGTTGTGAAAGACCGGATTCGCAGAAGTTATTTTATCTAAACAGCATTTCACTCAGTCAAGATTTTCTAGATCTGATCTCCACACCTCTCTGCTTCATCAATTCGATGATCCCGAAAACTATTACTTCGGTATCACAATATATCCCAAAAAAAATATTCTCCGATTATAATCATGATTAAAAATTCTATATTTTAATATCTATTATATAATATACATATATTCTGAAATCTTTGATAATTCAAGCATTTTTGAGATATACTCATAAATTATAATTAATGGATCCTAAGGTTTTTCCAGATTTACAATAATTTTACTTATGTATTTATGTATTATAATTTTCATAGGTTGTAATTTAGAAACTCAAGCCTAGAAAATTTAAAAATGATAACTTCGGAATTCCGAAATTTTTCGGGATTTATATATAGTTCTATAAAGAGAGTTGCTCATATATTAATTTGCAAAACATCGGTGTGCACACCATTTTCTATGTTAAATTTTTAGATTAGTGAAAATCTGGTTTGTTTTTTGTCCAAAAAACCTTTTTTTTGTTTCTGATAAAAGCTAAACAGGCTCAAAATAATATGGCTACATATTAAATGTACATACATACATATGTAGGGACATACATAATATAGTACATACATACATCAATAGTTTAATCTTATTCAATTTACTATTATTGAAAAAGCTTATAAAAAATTAAATTTTAAAACCACAAATCTAAGTCTAGAAATTTAAAATTGATAACTTCGGAATCCCGAAAGTTTTTGGAAATTATATTTTAATTATAAATAGTGTTTCTCATATACTAGTTTGCAAAAAATAGATGTGCGCACAATATTCAAACTTATATTTGAGTTTAGTAAATCCCAAAGCATCGCGATTCCGAAATTGAATCCCGAAAGTATTTCTAAAAAAAAGTTTTTCTGGTCGCTTTTTGTTCAAAAAAAAATTTTTTTGCGGCAATAAAAATGAAAAGGCCTCAAACTATACATATAGCGACATATGGTACATTTGGTGCACATCAATTGTTTACACAAATTTATTTTATTACTGGTGAAAGAGCTGCTTAAAATTGAAACATAAAAATCAGTTTCTTATATATAATATTAATTTACAAAACATGAACAAGTGTACACAATTTTCCAGCTTAAATTTGAGTTTGGTAAAAATCCCGAAAATTCGGGTTCGCAAAATTTAGTCCCGATAGTTTTAATTGCTTATTTAAATTGTGCTGGATATTATTTTTATTTTTGTGTAGTAACAAATGTTTAAGCGCTAATGAAAATATAAAATGTTAAAAAAAATATGGCAACACACCATCACTGCCACTACTTTCGCTTCCACTCGCTCTGGAGAAATGCGCCTCACAACATTTTCCACCACTTGCTACACTTTGAAATAGCAAAACCAAATTGGCAACACTCTCTGTTTGCACGCCACGGGAGTGTAAAACATTGGGAGCTGTGAAAATCATGCAAACAACAAGAGAGCAGGTGTGCGCGCTGTTGATGGGGACGTGGTGGAGGACGTGGTGAACACAACTCTGCCAACAATGTTAGCCACAATGAATAAAAGCAAACGGCACAGCGTGAAATGGCTCAGTTTCAGTGGAACTGCCGGCGGTAACGCGTAGAAAACGAGATAAATAAGAAAACTATAATAAAATAAAATTGAATAAAATAAAATAAGATAATGCTTAAATAGAAAAAATAAGAATATAACAAAAACAAAAAACGCATTATAACAATAAAACGAAAATATAATTTTTTGTTTGTGTTTACGCTTATTTGCGCAAGTGATAAAAAACGCTGACGTACTGGTGGCAGCCAAGAAGTAGCATCGCAGCAGCAACAACAACAACAGTAGCAGTGTGTAGAAAAGAAAAATATTTTTGAGAATATTTATAAATACAAATACAAATGTATATTAAATATAAGATTGCTGCGCTTATAAATATAAAATATTTGAATACAAAAATAAATATAAATATAAATTAAAAGGCAAATGAAGTGGTGAGCAGCAGCAAAACGCAAAAAAAAAGTGGGTGACTTTTGTTCAAAGCTTTTATCGAGTGTATTTCTTTGCATATATCCTATAGATTTGTATTTGTATATACGTTAATATATACATACATATATAGATATATATATTTATATTTTTTTGAGAAAAAAAATTGCAAAAAAAATTTGCAAAAAAAGTGTGTGGCAGCGTAAGGTGGGTGCGACTGTCAGCTATGACACCTTTAAAGTAGCAGCACAACAAACACAAACAAAAACAAACAAATTGCAAAGAAAATTAAATATAAAAAAAAAATAGAAAAACACAAAAAAATCGAAACGCAAAAAGAACAAAAAACAGCAAACGAAATAATTTTTTGCAACAAGGAGTTTGACTGGGTTGACAACATTTGTGCGGCTGTGTGTGTGTGTTAGTAAACACACAAACCCACTAAAGGGAGACAGCCGTCGGCTGGACAAAGTGTAGTGCAGTGCAAGAACTGGCGGCGCAGCGTGCGACGCGTCGCTGTGGCTTGCTGATGTTATGTGCTAAGCTCTGCTGCCCGCTGCTGATGATCTAAGGTGCGCTCTAGTTGTTTTTACTTTCAATATTATTTATTAACCGTGTTTGTGTGTTTTATTTTTTTCATTTGATTGATGAGCGCAAGTTTCATAGCTTTGAGTTATACAAGTCTATAAGCGTAGCGAATGCTCTGAAGTTATTTTTACAAGAATTTCCTTGAAATTACAAAGCCTGAAAATGTATAGAAAAAAACACTTTTCACTTGGCATAACTAAAAAATATTGCATTTGTTAATTGAAAAGTTCAAAGCTTGTCCAGATTGCGCGGAATTTTTGTTGCAGGAAGTAATGAAATATAGTGTAGGAATTTGAGTGTTTCCTCAGTAAAATGATTTTATAAAATTTTACTAGGAAATGTGTGCAAATTCTGTCATTAACATTTATAAACAATACTTAGTATGTGTCGCATATTGCACGGAGCTGCGTCTCCGGTATGTCTGTGGCAAAAGTTGGGGAAGTAGGAAGAACGAAATTAAAGTGAATGAATTGAGTGCTAGGCCGCAATTTGCGGTTGTATTGTGGCCCTATTGGAGAACAATGTAAAATTTTATAAAAAACTTTCAAGAAGTTAATCACACACATAGTAATATATAATATTGTAAAGAAAGTAATCGAAGAGTAATGGTAATCTTTAAAGTATCGGTTATTACATAAAAATAAATATAAAAGTGTACTTAAATAAAATAAAAGAATAATTATAATCAGCATTTAGTTAATTAATTTTAATAAATACATTACTTATTACTCACTTCATGTATTAAACATTAATTTTTTTCTGCTTTCATACATAAAAATGATAATTGTAATAATTACATAATTAATTAATGGTAATGTTTACATTACTTGTTACTATTTCTAAATATTAAAATTTTCTTTATTTCAGCTTTCATAAATAAAATGATAATTGTAGTCATTATACAAAGAATGGTAATGATTACATTACTAATAAATATATTCAAATTTTAAAAATTAATTTTTTTCTGCTTTCATAAATAAAACTGCTAATTGTACTCATTATATAATTAATTAATAGCAATTATCACATTATTACTATATTTCTGCTTTCATAAATAAAATGATATTTGTACTCATTATATAGTTAATTTATGATAATGATTACATTACTAATATCTATCTTTAAGTATTAAGAGTGATTTTTTTCTGCTTTCATAATTAAAAGTGCTAATTGTACTCATTATAAAATAATTTATGTTAATTATTACATAACTAATTACTATCTTTAAGTTTTGAAAATTAATTTATTTCTTCTTTCATAAATAAAACGGCTGTACGCATTATATAATTATTATATAATTATTAAATGTTAATGATAAAATTACTAATTACTCCCTTAAAGTATTAAAAATTAATTTATTTCATAAATAAAACTGATAATTGTAATCATTGTATATTTAATTAATTGCATTACTAAATACTAACTGCATTAAAAGTGAATTTTTTCTGTTTTCATAAATCAAAAAATATTTAAAACCATTATATAGTTAATTAAGTACAGATAAACAGTACTGAATTAAATAATTAAGTAAACAATAACACATGGAATTAAACAATCAGAAAATGGTTTCTGATAAGAAATAAAACAACTTATTAGTTAACATTTCAATGAAATTATAAATTATTATTTACAAAATAAAGATTAAGTAACCATTACTTGTTATTTTATTACTTTTTATGAATAAAATAAATTTTTATATGATTAAAATACTAGATGATATATTCTCTTAAGTATCTATCATATATTGAATTACTATTTCAATAAATTATTATTATAAGAAATATTTTGAGTAGTTATAATTTTTATACTCTCGCAACCTGTTGCTACAAGGTATAATAGTTTTGTTCAATCATCATCGAGTTAGACATAGGGTTTTATATATATAAATGATCAGGATGAAGAGACGAGTTGAAATTCGGGTGACTGTCTGTCCGTCCGTCCGTCCTTCTGTCCGTCTGTGCAAGCTGTAACTTGAGTAAAAATTGAGATATCTTTATGAAACTTGGTAGACATGTTTCTGGGTACCGTAAGATGATTGGAATTGCAGATGGGCGTAATCGAACCACTGCCACGCCCACAAAACACCGTTAATCAAAAACAAATAAATTGCCATAACTAAGCTCCGCAATAAGATACAAGACTGTTATTTGGTATACAGGATCACATTATTTTTTTTTTAAAGTGGGCGTGGTCCCGCTCCTAAACCGCTAATGCTATAATAACAAAATTCACTGAAAGCAAATGTTTTTAGAACTTCTACCAACAGTGTGAAAATAGTTGAAATCGGGTGGCAACTCCGCCCACTCCCCATATAACGGTACTGTTAAAGACTTTTAAAAGCTTTTAAAGATAAATCAAGCACTAAACACGCCAGAGATATTAAATTTTATCTCTGGGATGGTATAAGATGATTTGATAGGAACCACGTTCAAAATTAGATAGTGGGCGTGGCACCGCCAACTTTTATGTGAAAACCCATATCTTGAGATTTGCTTAACCGATTGCAACCAAATTTGGTGCATAACGTTCCTTTCACATTTCTCTGTATTGCTAGCGTACCAAAATTTGTTTTTATTACATGTGTACATAAGATTAGTATTACTAGACTAAACTACCGAAATAAAAGGGTTGTCAAGCAATATATTGCTTTTCAGCTGTGCAGTATATGGGTGTCTACTCCGGGCGTATACGTGATCTTATCTAAATAACTCTTCAACGTATAATTATATCTTGAACAGGTTATATTTTTAGTTTGAAACGAAAATTGTAACACCCATAAGGAAATATCGCAGACTTTAGAACCTCTTTTTGAATGGGAAATTTAAAAAAATGTATTTACCATTACTTTTTACACATTTTGGCAACCTTTCCGGCAATTAGTGGATACCACGCAAATAGAAATGTTCGCCTTTTAAAACGAACTAATAACAAATTAAATTTGCGACTTCTGTGTAGGAATCGAAGTGCGGCTTAGCCAATGCGTGTCCCATCGCTGGAAATAAATGGTAATCGGCAGGAGCCAAGTATGGTATACGGCAGGTGGGATAGCAGCTCCCAACCAAGTACTTTGAGTGTATGCTGAACCGATTTTGCTTTGTGTGCAGGTGCCTTATTGTGTAACAAAATTACTTTGCCATATCTTCTAACCAATTCTGATAATTTTTCGATCAATGCATGGTTAAAGTTGATTATTTGTTGTCTGTAGCGATTAGTATTAACAGTTTCACCAGGTTGTAGAAGCTCATGATATACTACACCCTTCCGATCCCACCAAACACAGAGCATTGTCTTCTTACCAAATCGATCTGTTTTTGGTGTCGATGTTGATGATTGTTCTGGATTAACCCATGATTTTCTTCGTTTAGGATTCTTAAAATAAATAAATTTTTCATCGCCAGTGACAATTTTATGCAAAACTGACTTTCTTTCGTGTTTTTGAAGCAAAATTTCAAAGATGGTTTTTCGGTTTTCCATTTTTTTTTTTCATTTAATTCATGTGACACTTATTTTCCGCACCTTTGGATCTTTCCCATAGCTTTCAAACGGTCAGAAATTGTTTTAATATGGCTACCATTTTGACTCAAAGTATCATCTTTATACAATATTGCTTGCAGTTCGGCGTCTTCAAACTTTTTTGATGGTCTTCCACGTTCTTCATATCTCATATCAAAATCATTATATCTGAACCGTTAAACCTATCTTTTGCAAGTTGCTACTGATAGAGCATGATCACCATATGCCTCGACAAGCATTCGATGCGACTCTGGAGCAGCTTCCTTCAAATGGAAACAAAAATTTAATGCTTTCCACAAATTATCACTTTCCGGTACAAAATTTAACATTTTCAATGCAATGAAAAAATATGATGTTGTTTGTTTAATGACTGAAAGGTTATTGAATGTGTTTGAGATATGTTATGCCCACCAAATACAACAAACGAGTAAGGCTCGTTCACAACAAATGCTCCCTACCAATACATTTGTATCTTAACGCTCACTTTACAAGTATACTGGTACACCTGGTATGTGTAAAAGATCAGCGTGACGAACTGAGTCGACTTAGCTAAGTCCGTCTGTCTGTTAGTCTGTATATACATTAACTAGCCCCTCAGTGTTTGAGATATCGAGTTTCGCACATGTGCTTCTCTTCACAAGAAGCTGCTCATTTGTCGAAATCGTCAATATCGGACCACTATATCATATGGCTGCCATACAAACTGACCGATCAAAATCAAGTTCTTGTATAGAAAAATTATTTTATTTATAGATAGTGCTATAATAGATATCACTGATCGGTTCAAATCGAGCCTGCATGTATAACACGTTTTTATCTTCACGAACTTTCGCATGTAATAATTCCCAATACAACGCAATAATCTCCCAAAATATTGTTCGGTTCGGGTCACTATAGCATACAGCTGCTATACAAAGTGGCCGATCGAAATCGAGTCCGTTTATGGAAAACTTTTTTATTTCACCAAGGTAACGTTATAATTTCCGAACAAATTGTTGAGATCGGACCACTAGGATACCATATATAACTGGTATATAAATATCAATTATAAAAGCTAGTATTCAATTCCAATACGCTCAGTTTGCCTCTTTAGCTTCACAACGTTCTCATAAAAATTAGAAAATATACAATGTTATAAATTCGAAAGATGCTAAAATAGGTTTTGTCGTGCCATAAAGTTTCTCGCTCGAAGCAAAAATTAAAAAAAATTACGCTTTTTGCCTTATTAAATACTATTAATGCAAATTTATACGCACATGAGCAATGCAAAATTTTGCATAAAAGCACACGCACACGTCACACACATGCGTAATTTATAATTTACAATTATTTTTTTTTTTTTACTTTTCGAGTATATTTTCCTTTTGCATGCTATACCTATGCGTATCAACATTGGCCGGCCGACTAATGCGAATGGCATAACCACAACAAGTGACAGAAACAATTTGTATTATCAGCGCTCACTTGTAGG